ACTCAAATCCTGGGCTCAAGGATCCTCCTGCCTCAGCCTCCGAGTAGCTGGGACTACAGGCATGGCTACATACCCGGCTAATTTTTTCTATATATATTAGTTGGCCAATTAATTTCTTTCTATTATAGTAGAGACGGAGGTCTCGCTCTTGCTCAGGCTGGTTTTGAACTCCTGACCTTGAGCGATTCACCGCCCTCGTCCTCCAGAGTGCTGGAATTACAGTCATGAGCTACTGCGCCTGGCCTAAAATTTACAATTTCTATTGATGGCTGGAATAATGAATTAACAAGTAGAATCACGATAGTTAAATAAGGCTACTTAGTATAGATGTGTAAAGTGCCTGGTCAAATAGATGTGATGACAAGTTTGGTTTGTAGATTTCTATTTGGTGGACGATATGCTAAATGGATTCTCTAAGTGTATTCTGTGGTTGTTTTATGCTACATATTTATTATGTGAGGGAAATCAAAATTAATTAGAGCTATATGAGAAGTAGGGTAAATGTTTTTTCCATTCAAGTTGTGCCGAAGTATTCCTTGGACTGTTATGTGGTATCTCAATTGGAATGCATGAAGATGGATCCTATATGTGTAGATGGAAACGGTTAAAATATGTAAGGGTTGGGGATATCATGGTGATGCTCTAAATCAAAAGCACATTGTAGGGTTGGGTCAGGCTAAGCTCTGTAGGATCATTCTGACATTATTTTGGGAGGAATGTTGAAGGACCGAATCACAGGAGAGGAGAGAAGGAAAACTCTTGTCTGGCCAGAATAGGTGACAGTGAGGACAGAAGAGACGACGGAGATATCTCAATGTATTTTTTTTACAATCATAAAAGTCGGGGATCTACAATATTTAGCTGTGTTTTTCATGGAGAGGGTGGTGTGTGTTAGAGAGTAGTTCAAAGTAGCTAAAGGAGGAAGTGCCAGTTGTATCTACTCATTAGGGTGGCAAGGCTTCGGTATGTGGGAATTTGAATCAAATTGTATTTGCATTACACAGATGAAAGCAACATTGAGACAGATAACAATGTAGGTCATGTGCTGTGAGCTAGGCTGACGCCACGGCACTCTGGCCAGGGCAACAGAGTGAGACGTTGTCTCCAAAAACAAACAAACAAAAAAAAAGAAATCACAAATTTTAATTAGATACATTAGAGCTTATCATTAATGTATACTTCATGTGTTAATAAAGGAGCCCACAGGACTATAGCATATTTAAATATTTTGATGACTTCCAGAGGGATCCAGAGCACAAAAGTTAGGAACCCTTGTTTTAGAATATATTTGGAACAATGCCTAACAGAGTACGCAGTAAAAATTTAGCCAGTTTTTGCCTTGATTTACCTCACCTTAATGAGAAAACAAACCCACCTATGGGAGCAAAAGCTCTTCACCCCAAGCAAGCTTGCCGGCTGGGAATATCCTGGACAAGCCTACTGCCCTGCCCGTTCCAGGACAGAAGCTCCTAGACTGTACCTTATACACAAACTCCTCCATCTTCTCCATGGCGTGGTGGGCTTGCAGGGGAAGCGTCAGCACCCGCACCTCCTCCTCCTCTTCCTGGGGCACTGGGCATGTTTGCTCTTCTTCAGCCTGTAGGAAAAACAAACACACAAACAAAACAACAAAAAAACTCCGGGAGTCAGTCATCTCACAGGCTGTACTAGCCCAGCCTCTTTCCTGCAGAGGGTCCTGTGGCCTCTTCTCCGAAAGCGTGATACTTACTGAGTTCACAACACTATAGTTAGAGACCTGTTAATACTTCGCTGCAGTGAACGTTCTATTCAGCACACAGTAGACAGACTCTTAGGAAGACTAGCCTTGGAGGAAGACAAGGTGAGCACACCAGCCCTAGGTGTTCTTTAAGACTGAGTGACCCATCCTTTCTCTAGGACAGTGGTTCCGAACTTCCCCAATTTCCCAGACAGTTCTCTCTTCCAGCCCACTGCATTTTGAAAACAATGAAAAAGACACAAAGTTTCAGAGATTTCCTTAAGGATAATTCTGTTCAGCCCTCTGTTCACTGACTCTGGGGATGCAACTTTGTATCCACAGCAGCTCCCAGGAGTATCAGGGCCTCCAAACCGGTTCCACAGAAAACAGCAGCACCGGCTCCTGGGCCCAAAAGGGCGCCCCCGGGAGAGCACTCGCCTACAAAGCAAAGAGGCCTTTCTCTCCATCCCAAGGCTCTGAACCATGGCGATGGAAGGCCTGGCCGCTCGGCTCCTTCTCTGGGTTATTTGTCTCTCCTGTGGATGGTTCCTGGTAAATACATGGTCCCTCTTGGATTGTGTTTTACAGATTCTGGCTTGCCTACCCCAGTATCCATTCTCTCTCTCGTCCTAAGTTCCAAAGTCCTCGGTTTTGGACTGAGGATGGGTGGCAATGTTACTGCAATTTGACTCAGGCTACACTCTTCCTAGCCTCCACTGCAGCTGAATATCACCATGTAACTAAATTCTGGCCTGAGTACTTCTTGATAGTCTATTCAAAAGGGAAAGAGCAGACCTTCCTCCTGCTTCACTGTGGGTAGAATGCAGGTGTGATGCACAACATGCCACGAATGAAGGAAGAGCAAGACAGGTGCTTGACAACAGTGGAGCTGCCACACCAGCCTTGGAGCGGTTACTTCCAGGATTATCTTATTTGATGCCAGACTTCTATCTTGTCAAAGCCGCAGGGATTTTTGTTTGTTATATGAAGTCAAACCTAAGCCTATTCGACTGTTTCCTTCATTTACAGATTACTTACTCAGTCCTTCTGCTAAAGCACCGGGGTCACAAAGATTGAGTGAACTCCCAAAAGCTTATAGTGGGAAAAACAGACAAAAAGATAGTTGTAATAACACAGCATAGTAAAGACTTGGATAGAGATACTGCCAGGGTGCTATGGTTTCTCCTTTTGAAGGAAGGTGAGGTCTTTACCAAAGAAATTGACAGAAGTCTAAGAGAGATGCCGGTCAAGGGAATGACTCCTGGGAAGACGACTTACTTTGGTCGGATTGGCGATCACTCGTCTGCCCTTCTCCTCTAGCAGGGGTCCCAGCTCAGCCAGTTCCACTGTGTCCGTTTCCCTGTTGCCGGCAGGAGCCCCATTGCCCTGTGCCACCACAGATCCTTTGTGAGAAGACATCTGGCTGGTTCCTCAAGGCCCTGCAGCTTCAGCCTGGGGAAAGGTTGGGGTCTCTCAGCCCCAGGGGGCAGAGATCTCCCTGTGATGGTAGACACTAAAAGCAAACACAGACGTGCAGCGTTGACAGTTTGTTCCTCTTACAGTTTCATTTCTATAATTCAATATTGAATAAGACACAGCTAATCAACCCATACCCTGTTTCCAACTCTAAAGGCCAGTTGATTGCGTAAATGAAATCACCCTTTGCCCAGAACCTTACTAATAATCTTACAGATAAGGCTGAAAATACGACACCTAATTGCTTGTCTTCCAAAGATCTGTGGTTACTGTACCACACTGGTACCACAGAAAAACAGCTACCCACCCTCAACTTCACCCCGCAGTTAGGAAGCCCACTGAATGAAGAGGGTCTCGCCTACCATTCCCAAAGCTCATTCTGCCCAAGAAAGGCCTCGCTCTGAGACTGAGGAATGAAACTATGAAGCCAACACCTGGCTGCAATTACTACAAGATCATCCAGGCTGAGAAATAAATTAGATGCAAAGTGAACTCAGTTGGGCTTTATAAATGCTCTGATCAATCTGCTGTGCATACAAAAAGAACTTGGTCGTGGGATGGGTGCCGAGTGGTTAATTTCTCTGCAAGGTTTACTAATTCTATTATAGGATTATAGCCTGGGTCCAACACTTGGGATAACAAGCTTTCATCACAATCTATTCTTAAAGCAAGCAGTAACTTACCTGGAAGCAGGAAGCTGAAGACAGGGAGGCAGCCTCAGCTTTGCCTTTTTGCCACACACATACCTAATAACCGGCTCTGCGAGAGCTTGTCCCAACCACCACCGCCCATAATCTAAGCGTCATTCAAATTAGTTTGTCAGAAACTAGAGACAAGCACACGCATTCTTTAGGGACACCAGAGAAACCCAGAATTCAGTTTTCTAGGAAAAACCTCAGAAACACTTTTTTTTTTTTTTTTGCTGGGTTGGATTTTAGTAGCAGTCTTTACTCAGGTCTCAAATAATACTGAAAAGAAAGGAAAAGTTTCTAAAGATTCCCACTATGTTATAAATTACTAGTTCTTTTTCCCCCCAGGGACAAAAAACTTTATTACTCCTAGTAATAGCAGCAGCCAGAATATTAGCATTTTCTTGCATTGGTTACCCAAGCCCCAGTTACCAGAGGGCAATGCAGAGAGAGCCCTGTACCACTTGCACGTGGAGTGGGCTGCATTAAGGAAGAGGAAACTTATGCTTAGGAAGCCCAAACATTTTAATGATATATTGGGCAGTAAACATGACTTTGCTCCCAAAGGAGACACTATCATCCATGGCTGTTCAGTATATATACACAAACATCTTTGATATCTTGTACTAGTTCTTTTTTATCTAAGAGTAATCACAATTCCTTCTCAGGGATTATAAATCTGTCCATCTGTCTGTCTCTTCTTCCCTTCCCCCTTTCCCTACCTCCTAGAGCTGGGACAACCTTCTTCTCCTGCCCTTGGACATCAAGAACTCCAGGGATTCTGGGCCTTGCACCCGCAGCCCCTTGGGTTCTCAGCTCTGTGGCCTCAGTCTGAGCCAGCTACCAGCTTCCCTGGTTTGCAGACGGCATATCGTGGGACTTAGCCGCTATAATCACATGAGCCAATTGACCTAATAAATCCCCCCTCTGTCTGTATCTACCTGTCTGTCTATCCATCTATCCTACTGGTTCTCTCTGGAGAACCCTGTCTAATACATCAAGCGAGGGGAATCCTCAAGTGTCAGTCATGAGTGATGCTATGCTCGCCCCACAAGCACAGCTGAAAGCAACAGGCAAATCTAGTCCAAGAGAGACAGAAACAGTAACACACTGTACAGCAGACCTTCATATGGTGTCAACACAGGGCAGTAGTTCCTCCTTTAATGTGCAAGACTCACGAGATGCCAGCACACAGTCACAGTCAACAATTGCGCTTAAGGAGAACAGGAAATGGGGCCTAGGAGATAGGCAACCCACGTGAAAAGAGACATTAGGAAATCTTTCTCAACAGGCTGACCTCAAAACATAGTTCCTCAAAGTGAAGCACTACTGAATAAACAGCTTAACTAAGATATCCTTTAGACTGTGAGCAAAAAACATAAATAGGTTTGGGTATCTTGGAAATGTCTGAAAAGAGCAGCGCACTTCGCTTAGAATACTGCTGCCAGTAATTTAGAGCAGACCACCAGGGCAGAAACAAAACAAAAAACCTGGTTCTGGTATGCAAGACATGGATCATAAAATAATACATATCCCTAATTTTGGTCAGAACTCATATCTCAAAATGAATGAATGAATGAACGGGGCAGATTCCAGCCAGCAAGTATATGAGTTAGCTCCTCACTACTAGGTAAGGGCTTGTGTTCTTTTTCTTGGACTTGGGGGGCTTTCTCTTATCGTTTCTCCCAAAGCAACCCAACACATTCACTGAATATGTAGCAAGTGTATTTAGTACTAGCACCCTAAAGCATTCGAAGGTACTATGCGAAATACAAAGTTGAACTAAGTTATGTCATTGTCTTCAAAGAGCCTATAGTCAGATGACATAGGCAGTTTGTGATATGTATAAAATAAATGATACAGTGTCATTGCTCCAGGAGGGCAGTGGAGGGACAGCACCTGTCAGCTAGAATGGTCACACACTAAATTCAGTTATTTTGAGTGCTATATAACCAACTATACTAGAGGCAATGAGAATACTATAGACAAACTTTAAGTTGGGTCAACTAAAAGCTGGACTTTTAGGGTCCAAAGATGGTATGCAGAATCCAGCTTGGCATTCTCACTATATCATTTCATCATTTGATCTGAAAAGTTTTTACGCCCTCAAGTCTGCTGGCCGTCATCGAAGTCTTTTCCCTTTTCAGTTCAAATACTTTTCTATTAATTTTCCTGATTCCTTCCGGCTCCTCTACAACTAGCTCCTACTCCCACTCCCCACAACCTAGACCCAAAGTCACCAAAGCTAACAGATACCCCCGTTAACTCGCAAACGAGCCATCAGCTACATCTCATCATACAAAATCTATCATCATGCATTAAAGTACATACAGTGGAGGTCAATGGAGATCATGTCATCATAGTGAGCAATGTCCACTGTGCAGTTTGGTCTTCTAAACTGTAGCGACACAGAGACAGGAAAGGGAGAGAGAGGGATCGGAGGTCTGGCAAGAAAGAAGAGCAAATAATACTAGGACCTGAAAAGATCACTTCAGTGGGGGGACCACTCACAAACAACTGAAATCACAAGCAAGTGTTTTAGTCTATTATATAAAATCAGTACAAACACCTAAGGTCTTAGACTGATTTTAAGAGACCCAGGAAAGCCAACTTTCTATGTCCTTATGTATTTCAGAAAAAACACTTTTTCCCCTCAAACCTGCCACACCCAACATAGCAAATTATAATTAAGCCAAACTCCACTGAGTGCATTTTTTATGGGATTTCTTCAACTCAAGCTAATAAACCTTTACCACTAAGCTTTCCAACTGGATAAACCTAGGATATTAGAGTAAAGCTGTGGAGCAGGGAGGTGTTTGTGGTGTTTGTGCTCCTATAAATAAGATAATCCTGGGCTGAACTTGGAGAAAAGATTGATTCTTAATCACTAGCCAGTAAGCTGCAGAGCTATTTTACTTAAAGTCTTGGAGACATTTATACTGTGAACCAATTCCCCCTGGAGTCAAATGCACAAAGCTTCTTTCAGGAGTTTTTAAAATCTGGGGTCCCTGGATCCTTAAGAGATTCTATGGGTAGGCTCTATCTATGCCTAACTTGATTCTCATTTTTCTAAAACAAGACCAGTCTAGCAGTATAGACAAAGAACACAGCCATCTTTTCCTGTGTCTACTCTCTTTGTTAGGGAGGGAAGTTTCACAGCTTTGTTGGAGAAAAGAGTCAAGGCAAAGGCACATGTTTGAAATCACCAAACTGCAGTAATGGGTCCTAAGCTCTCCTACCGCCAAGTATTCCAGAGTCTAAAGTGGAAAATCACAATCTTTGTAGTTCTTCCCCAGTTAAAGCTGTCCCAACAGAAGAGGTCTTTTTGATCTCGAATAGAGACAAACTTTCCTAATGCCATGAAAAATAAGAGAAGTAAATAGTACACAGGTGTATGAGGGATTTTTATGCCAACCTCTGTTTTTAATACCCATTTTTCGAGTACATTACAGATATACAGTCAATACATTGCACAATATAGCACCCACTTTATACTGTGTACCCCAGAAGCCCCAATGAAACAAAAGCAAACTAGGTGCATGCCCAAAAGCCAATTACATGAAACTGGTTTGGTTAGAAGGCACTTTCAAGGACTTTAAAAGTCCACGATAGTTACAAACTTTATTATAAACATCATTCATTAAAAAAAGATAAGGAGATTTGGGAGCAAGAGGGAGCAAGAGGAAGGTGTGCATATCCTTTGATGCCCAGGAGAGGAGATAGGCAGTCCGAGTTTGCGACAGGAGGGTGGGAGCAGCGTGGACTGTTAGGCCTCCGTGTCTTTGGGTGTTTTTATTGTCGGTAGGCCTAGGGCCTCCGTGTGGAGGACAGGGCGTGGCAGGGCCCGGCGTGGGTCGTGGCTTTGGGTGGTGGCGCGGCAGGCTAAAGGCGAGTGGCGAGTGTCCGCGCGGGCGCGCCCCATGTACGCTGCACGAAGGAACTCTCGTGGCGAGGGGCGCGCGCGCGATACTCCTGGGCTCTAAGCGACGGGGCGGCCCTTCTCCTGTCGCCGCGCGACGTTCTTCCGAGTAACTGGACTACAGGCATGTGCCATCCGATGCCCGGCTATATTTTTCGTGCGTGGACAATAGGCTGCGATTGCGAGAGCGGCGCCGGTGGGGCCGCGAGGAGGTGAGCTGTTACGGCGGCGGAGTGACGCGTGCTGGGCCAATTAAATTTCTTTCTAATTTATTAGTATCGACGACGGCGCCTTTCCGGCGCGGGGAGGCGGCTGTGAAATGATCCGGGCGCCGCTCGCGTCTTGTCAGGTCCGTCATGTGCCGCTGTCCAGCGTGCCGCTGTGGATGTTGAAACTGTCGCGGAGGCGCGTCCACTGCGGCCCCCAGCT